CTTTCAAATCCTCCCACATGTCATGGTCTAAAGGGAGGTGGTGCTATTTTCTTCTCCAAAATTTGCCTATGTTGATTGTTTTAGGTTATAGCTGTAAACTGTACCACATGTGGACAACCTAACAGTAGAATCGAACATCCATTTCCCCAGCTTCTTGAAGAAAAGTTGACCCATAAATGGTATGAGACATAGGAATGCTTGTTGTTTTGAACTCAAAAGTTTTCCATCCAGAGGTAGCTACATTGGGTACAGAGCTTGGAAAAGTTGATTTTATGGAATATATACCTTTCCCAGACTAATGGCCACTTGGGCATTTATTTATTTATTTATTATTTATTTGTTGCATTTGTTGACCGCCGCTCTCAGCCCTAGGGCGACTCGCGGTGGTGTACAACATATAAAAACAGTTTACAATAAAGCACAACAAAATCAACATATCAATAATACACACTAATCTAAATTACACTAACTAATCCGCATCGTCACAACATAGAATCATAACCAATCTCATAGTCCATATTCCGTTCCAGTTGTCAATTGCCAGTTAATGTAGCACTCAGTTAAATGCCTTCTCAAATAGCCAGGTCTTTAGGCTCTTACGGAAAGCCATAAGGGAGGGCGCCTGTCTGATGTCAACAGGGAGGGCGTTCCACAGCCGGGGGGCCACCACTGAGAAGGCCCTCTCTCTCGTCCCCGCCAAACGTGCCTGTGAGGCAGGCGGGATCGAGAGAAGGGCCTCCCCAGACGATCTCAAGGCCCTCGTGGGCTCATAGGCCGAGATGCGGTCCGAAAGGTATTTTGGGCCGGAACCGTTTAGGGCTTTGTAGGATAACACCAGCACCTTAAATTGGGCCCGGTAGCAAATCGGCAGCCAGTGGAGCTGGGACAACAAGGGCGTTGTATGCTCCCTGCGTCCTGCTCCCGTTAGTAACATGGCTGCCGCGCGCTGGACTAGCTGAAGCTTCCGGGCCGTCTTCAAGGGCAGCCCCACGTAGAGAGCGTTGCAGTAGTCAAGGCGGGATGTGACCAGAGCGTGTACCACCGTGGCCAAGTCAGACTTCCCAAGGTACGGGCGCAGCTGGCGCACAAGCCTAAGCTGTGCAAATGCTCCCCTGGTCACCCCTGAAACCTGGGGATCCAGGCTCAAGGATGAATCCAGGGTCACACCCAAGCTGCGAACCTGCGCCTTCAAGGGGAGTGCGACCCCGTCCAGCACAGGCTGTAACCCTATACCCTGTTCGGCCTTGCGACTGACCAGGAATACCTCTGTCTTGTCTGGATTTAATTTCAGTTTGTTCGCCCTCATCCAGACCATTACAGCGGCCAGGCACCGGTTCAGGACCGCGACAGCCTCCTTAGTAGCAGGTGGAAAGGAGTGACAGAGTTGGACATCATCTGCGTACAGATGACACCGCACCCCGAAACTCCGGATGATCTCACCCAGCGGCTTCATGTAGATGTTAAACAGCATGGGGGACAGTATAGAACCCTGTGGAACCCCACAGGTCAAAGGCTGTGGTGGTGAACAGGAGTCCCCCAGTAACACCTTCTGGGTACGACCCTCCAGAAATGACTGGAGCCACTGCAGAGCAATGCCCCCAAGACCCATTTCCGCAAGGCGCCCGAGAAGGATACCGTGGTCGACGGTATCGAAGGCCGCTGAGAGGTCCAGGAGCACCAACAGGGACACACTCCCCCTGTCTAGCTCCCGGCGCAGATCATCCACTAAGGCGACCAAGACCGTCTCGGTCATGTCCCGGTCTGAAACCAGACTGTGCCGGATCCAGAATATCCGTGTCTCTCAAGAATACCTGGAGTTGTGAGGCCACCACGCTTTCCATGACTTTGCCCAAAAAGGGGAGATTGGAAACAGGCCGAAAGTTCTCGAATTTAGTGGGGTCCAATGATGGTTTCTTCAACAGCGGTTTTATAATTGCTTGTTTTAAGCACGCTGGAATCTTGCCTTCCCGAAGGGAGGCATTAACCACCACCGTTACCCACTCAGCCAATCCCCCTCTGGCCTCCTTCAGAAGCCAGGATGGGCAGGGGTCTAGGATGGACGTGGTGGGCCTCATTCCTCCAAGTATCTTGTCCACATCCTCGGGTTTCACAAACTGAAAAGAATCCATCAAAATAGGACAAGCAGGTGCTCGTGTCACATCCACAGAGACTGCATTTAACATGGTGTCCAGCTCAGAACGGATCAAAGCGACTTTGTCTGCGAAGAACCGAGCAAATGCTTCACAGCGCGTGGCCGAATTGTCAGGGCTCCCGCCTGAGGTGGCGGGAGTTAAAAGACCTCTGACAATCCGAAACAACTCCGCCGGACGGTTTTTTGCAGACGCAATAGTGGCCGCAAAGAAAGTTTTCTTTGCGGCTTTTATTGCCGCGGCATATGCCCTTAAAAAGGACACAAACCGTGCTCGATTTGACTCGCTCGGGTCCGAACGCCACACGCTCTCTAGTTCCCTCTTCCTTCGCTTCATCACTGCCAGCTCCTCAGTAAACCAAGGAGCTGGTTTAGCTCGGCTACTTGAGAGGGGACGTTCCGGAGCGATCACGTCAATTGCCCTGGCCATCTCCCCATTCCAGAGAGCGACCAAGGCCTCGACATGGTCACCTACCGAGGAGGCGGGAAAATCCCCAAGAGCCGTCAGGAATCCATTCGGATCCATAAGCCTCCTGGGGCGGACCATCTTAATGGGTCCTCCACCTTTGCGGAGGTTAGGGGGTGCAGTGAGCCTAAATCTGATCAGGAAGTGGTCAGTCCATGGCAACGGAGAGATAGACAACTCCTCCACACCGCCACCCTGCTCCCATCCCTGACAGAAAACCAAGTCCAATGTGTGTCCAGCACAATGGGTGGGGCCAGATATTTGTTGGGACAGCCCCATGGTTGCCATGGCAGACATGAAGTCCTGAGCCGCTCCTGTGAGGGTCGCCTCGGCATGGATATTGAAGTCTCCCAGCACCAGAAGCCGTTGAGACTCCAACGCCAGGCTCGAGACTACCCCCGCTAGCTCAGGTAGGGAGGCTGTAGTGCAGCGAGGTGGACGGTACACTAGCAGAATCCCTATTCTGTCCCGGTCACCCACCCTTAGGTGGACACATTCAAAATTTGTGGTCTGCGGGATGGGGCTCCTGGTCAGATGGATGGAATCTCTATAGACCACTGCAACCCCGCCTCCCCGTCCTCCGTATCTCGGTTGGTGCTGTACGGAGAAACCTGGAGGACAAAGCTGGGTCAGATTCACCCCCCAGCTTCATCCAACCAGGTCTCCGTAATGCACGCCAGATCTGCCCGCTCATCCAGGATTAAATCCTGGATAAAGGTCGTTTTTCCGTTGACAGATCTGGCGTTCAGCAGCACCACCTTCAATCCAGAGGGCCCGCTCACCTGGTTACACCAATTTACCTTAGGAGACCGGTTTAGGGTTATTAATGTTGGTAAGCGGTCCGAATTAGGCCGAATTTGAGGTCTCCTTTTTCCGCATCTCCCCCTCCCCACCACGACCTCTATGGGGGCCCCTCGGCTAGCATTCAGGAACATCTCCCATTTCATTTTATTACATCTAAGTTGTGGATTAATGTTGTCTTTTGGGCATTTGGGAGGTGGCAAAGGGCCTCTTGGACCCACCACTGTTCACCTGCCTTCTGCATCTTTTCCAGTCCCACAAGACAGCTTCTGTGACCACCACTGAAAAGACCATCCTGAAGCCTCCTACCTTGCCTCATTTATCAGGAACATCCAAAGGAACACCTGGGACAATTAGTTTAGACTCTTGACAGGTAACTATTGATCTCTCCTTCCATAGCTACCTATCTCCTGAGTGAATATATCCTTCCATAGTTACCTATCTCTTGACATATCCTTCCATAGTTACCTGTCTCTTGAAAGTAAAGACTTTCTGTATATATTTCAGATTTAAATATTAATGTCAAAAATATGTAGTACGATTTACATAGGATTTGTGCTACATTAGAACAGTAAAGACAAATATCGCTTAAGTAAAATAAACATTAAATATTAAATAACCAGAAAAATAAAATAAGGTGTAAACACTAAACTAATCTGGGAATCTGCTATTACAACACATCTTGATAGGTAACTATGGAAAGAGAGATTCATTCAGCCCCTTCTATACTTCCATATAACCCAGATTATCAAAATATATAATCCACATTATCTGCTTTGAACTGGATTATATGTCTACACTGCCATATAGTAAAGGTAAAGGTTTTCCCCTGACATTAATTCCAGTCGTGTCCAATTCTGAGGGTTGGTGCTCATCTCCATTTCTAAGCCGAAGAGCCAGCATTGTCTGTTGACACATCTGAGGTCATATGGCCAGCATGACTGCATGGAGCCCCATTACCTTCCTGCTTATAGCAGTACCTATTGATCTACTCACATTTGCATGTTTTCGAACTGCTAGGTTGGCAGAAGCTGGGGCTAACAACGGGAGCTCACACCGCTCCCTGGATTCAAACCTGCGACCTTTCGGTCAACAAGACATGGATGTTTAAACAAGCATTCGGTTAATCCGTTGCAACGAATTTTGATGACTAAAGGATTGGTAATCATGGACGATGAATTTTGGACTGCGATTCCAGTTATGAGATGCATGGGATTATTATTGGTGGCCCAATAATTTGTATTGTATATGTGTTTTATGCTTTTAAACTGAATACTGTTTTTTAAATGTTGTAAACCGCAATGAGTCGCCGACTTAGGCTGAGATATTAGCGGTATACAAGCGTATAAATAAATAAATAAATAAATAAATAAATAAATAAACAAGTTCAGCAGCTCAGCGGTTTAACCCACTGTGCCACAGGGGGCTCCACAATGCCATATAATCAAGTTCCAAGCAGATAATCTGGATTTTTATGTAGAAGAGCCCTGAGATGTAAAGATTTCTTCTTTAAAATGTTTCACCTTTCTTGCTCTTGTATAAGATACCAGCACAATTTGCAAAGTTTGAAAAGTCATTCTTCACCTGAGTCCTTTGGATTTGTAAAGTCATTGAATAAATCTGCCATTTCCTCGGCAACACTTTTCTTGGGCTTCATTTCCACAGCCATCTCCATTCCTTCTCAATGGCGTGTTTTCAGAATAATAATTGTTGCTACTACAGCCACTAGCATTGAAAGAAAGAGATATCACAAAGTACAATTCCTGACAAGCTAAATGCTGAACATTCAAAGCATTTCAAACAAAAAAATAGTAGTGCTACTGTTACAAACTCCAGGGAGAAGAACATGATCCTGATCCATCCAATTTTCCTTGACAATTGCAGGAAAAGTGGGGTGGTGTTGGCGACTTATGTGGATAGATGATCAGTCTGCGTCAGATCCAGTTATACTGTGCCCAAAGTATGGAGCTGCTCTTGAATTTCACCCACACTCCAGAGCATTCCTCAACTTTCCTTTGCATGTAGCATAACCAATGCTGCAAGTCGCATCAAGTGTAAGAGAATTAGCCGTCTACAAAGACATTGCCCAGGTGATATCTGGATGTGTTATGATCCTCCAAGGAGGCTTCTCTCATGTCCCCATAATGCCAAGTTTTTAAACATTGTTTGTGTCTTTAAATACATTACAACTGTACCTATTCATTTCTGACATATTAAATAAATAAGCATAACTAATTTAAGTCAGTTTACCCCACAAAAAGGAGTAGAAGTCCCTTGCTATCAGATAGACGTCCAGGAGAGTTTTCCACTCATTGCGTAGTATAAAAACAATATGAACAAACCTTCAGTCTATCACTAAATTACCGTAATGATAGAGGGGCCACAGAGATAAAGTTGAGAGACAGTACCTGTCCTGATCCAAGAAAGTCTTGGGCTGCAGTTTCGGTCCCTATGCAGTAATCCCTTTCTGCAATTTTCACAGTGTTTTATAAGCTGTGACTTGGTAACCTTTATGGGCGTGATCTGCATGCTTAATCGAAATCAGATACAAGCATACATTAAAGCCATGTGTCAGCAGGCTGCTATTCTTTGATGCAATGAGTCCTGTTTCTTCTGACAGGAGTTGATCCCAACCTTGAGTCCTCCAGCTGATTTTTGGACTATACCTGGCATCATTTCTGTCCTTTGGTCATTCTGGATGGAGATTCGACGGCAGTGGTTCTCAGCCTGTGGGTCCCTAGATGTTTTGGCCTACAACTCACAGAAATCCCAGCCAGTTTACCAGCTGTTAGGATGTATGGGAGTTGAAGGTGAAGACATCTGGGACCCACAGGTTGAGAACCATTGTTCTAAGGTAAATAGACTAAAACAGATGAAGTCTGGAGGAATGTCAACACAAGACAGAACAAAATAATACTATTTCTAGACTAATGTAAGTTTTCTGGGAGAGAGGCATATTCCTATTACAGGCTCACCAGATTTATGATCGCGTGGGATGCAACCTCTTACGAGATAGAATTCACACCATCCGCAAAGAACTCGCAAACACAGACAAGGAACTGTTGCACCTCCATGTCAACATCAGCCAGAAGATGAATTCCCAGGACTCGGACAAAACAGACAACCTCACCTACAGAAAATGGAGAAAAACATGGCTGTCCACACCAACAGACAAAAACAAAAATTCCACAAATGCCAAAAGCAACAGCCGAAACCAGAACTGGATACATCACGAACCATCATCAACTCTCTGAAGACCAAGTATCCATACTATCAAAAGGAGGAAATTTTGCTGTAACCATCACCAGGATCCCAGTAGAAAACATCACTGCCAATGTCAAATCAGCAATTTATCGCCTCCCCGAGGAAGAAGCAGAAGAAATAAGAGGGGAAACACCAAGGATTCTGAAAAAGGCAAAACTTCCCTCCAGTAACATAACAAGGAAGGAAAGACAAGCCATCAGAGACCTCAACTCAGATCCTGATATCATCATTCTCCCAGCAGACAAGGGGAATGCCACAGTAATCATGGATACAGAACAATACAAGGAGAAGATCAGAAAACTCATGGATCCTACTATATAAAGAAAACTTAAACAAGACCCAGCTTCCAAAATAACCAGAAAAACCAACACTCTGATTAAGAACACCTCGATCAACTTCGACATACGACAACAGCTATGTAAATTGGAAGCCCTTCCACCTAGGCTTTATGGACTCCCAAAAATTCATAAGGACTCCACCCCACTCAGACCCATCATGAATGTAAATTTGAAAGAATATGCAGTCCACTTCTCCTTAAGAGGCTGGGCTCTTAATTCAAGCAGCAGACACCAGAGGCCTAAACATTGGATCCCCCACGTACGACTTAGCAACATTTCTGGCTACACAGTTACAAACGCATTTGGGCTCACTACACACTACATCAAAGACTCAGCCCACTTCATAGAAAAAATCAGCAATCTCAAGCTCAATACCAACGACAAACTGATCAGCTTTGATGTGGTGTCTCTATTTACCATGGTCCCGGTAGCAGACACAATTGCACTAATCAACTAGAGGTTCCCAGAAGACATCACAGCTCTGCTTCACCATTGCCTCACCACCAGCTACTTTCAGTGGGACAATGAGTTCTACGAACAGAAAGATGGAGTAGCTATGGGGAGCCCTCTCAGCCCGGTCATAGCTAATTTCTACATGGAACACTTTGAAAAACAAGCCCTGGAAACAGCAACAAAAAAGCCCACAATATGGTTCAGATATGTGGATGACACTTTCACCATTTGGAGCCATGGAGAAGAAGAACTAAACAGGTTCCTGGACCATCTTAACAGCTTCCACCCAAACATCCAGTTCACCATGGAAAAAGAAAATGAAGGACAACTGCCTTTTCTAGATGTCCTAGTCATCCACAAACCAGATCAACAATTGGGTCACACCGTTTACAGAAAACCCACACACACAGAGATGGATATCTACATAAAAACTCCAACCATCACCCAAGTAAAAAAAGAAGCACCATTAAAGCCTTGGCAGAACGTGCAAAACGAATCTGCGAACCCCACCTCCTTCAAGATGAACTGAACCACCTCAACTGGACTACCCAGGCCAATGGAGACTCCACTTCAGACATCAGAAGAGCTGCAAGACCGAGAACAAGCCACGAGAATAAAGATGAAGATCCACCCAGAGAAAAAGTGTTCTTGCCAGATATCAAGGGAACTACTGACCACATAGGGAAGCTGATGAGGAAACACAACATACAAACTATCTACAGACCCACCAAGAAAATCCAACAAATGCTACGTTCAGCAAAGGACAAGAGGGATCTTCTCACTTCTGCAGGAGTCTACCATACACCATGCATTTGTGGACAAGTCTACATAGGGACCAGCAAAATCAGGCAATTCCAACTGGATGGCCCCCACAAGGGTCTTCCTTCAAGGAAGAAAACCAAGAATGGGAGATCCCTGAACAGACTCAGAAGTGGAGTTGGCAGATGAAGAGACAACCTGACAAAATGGCACTACCTAGAAGAATCCTCCACCTTGTGCAACTGTGGAGCAGAACAAACAACTCCACATCTGTGTGCTTGCCCACAATGCTCTGTCTCATGCACAGAGGAAGAACTGTTCAAAGCAGGGGTCCCCAAACTACGGTCTGCAGGCCGGATCCGGCCCCCCGAGGTCATCTATACGGCCCGCGGGCTGTGGAGAAGGGTGAGAGGCAGGTGAAGGGGGAGAGAGGCAGCGGGTGAAAGGGGGGGGAGGCGGCAGGCAAAGCGGCTTGGGTCCGCTTTGCCCTCCGTCTCCGTGGGCCCAGCCTGCTCTCCTGCCTTCGGGATGCGGCCTCGCCGCATCCAGGAGGCAGGGAGGGGGGGAGGCAGCAGGCAAATGTTGTCCCCTGACCTTAAATCCAGTCATGTCCGACTCTGGGACTCTGCTGCTCATCTCCATTTCTAAGCCGAAGAGTCTATGGAGGTTGTACATAGACAACTCCAAGGTCATGTGGCCGGCATGACTGCATGGAGCGCCGTTACCTTCCTGCCAGAGCGGTATCTATTGATCTACTCACATTTGCATGTTTTCAAACTGCTAGGTTTATATTTATTCTAAACTGCTAAGTTTATATTTGTTAAAATAGTTCTTCATTTTAATTATTGTATTATTCATTCATTCGTTTTTTTTTTCAAATTATAATCCCACCCTCCAACAGTTTGAGGGACTGTGACCCGGCCCTCTGTTCAAAAAGTTTGGGGACCCCTGGTTTAAAGCTACAGACAATGTGGTCACTGTTGCACCTGTGTGGTTTAAAACTATTTAGCTGCTTGTGATCCTTTTATTTTATCAGTTTTGAACTTATTTATTTAGGTAATCCTTTTGACACAAGACAAAATAACCACTGGCTCTCATTAGTACAGTGTTTTTTATTCAATTCTTAAAAGAAGCAAGTACATCATAGATCAGTATGGAAAAATGAGCAATTTCCAGATTTAATTTCACTCCTGAATGTTCATTTTTTCATAAAATAAAAAGTGGCAATTTCAGCACCTCCTTTACGACTCAAGCCGATAGGCTTGTTTGGCTCAGTTGATGTACTTAGGAACCAACCTGGAAAAGCTGCAGATTCAAAGGAACACGTTTCTTGGCCACCTTCAGTGTGATTCAAGAAGGTGAAATTCTTGAATGGTTGAGCATCTTTATACAGTTTCATTATACCCTCCTCCTGAAATGCAAACATTATTTAGGAGCAAATAAACTTAGGTTATATTACCAATGGGTGCCTCGAAAGATACTCATTCACATTAACACAAGTGTTTCCAAAAACCCAGGTTCATTTTGCTTTCCTTGTCTATCAAAATAGCACAGTCATTATTAAAAGTGGAGAATCACAGTTCTGTATATAAAAACCAGAACAATTTATCCACAAGTTTAACTAACACCTCTTCCTTTTTCCTTCCATTTTCCCCAACATCATTGTCTTCTCTAAGCTTTCCTGTCTTCTCATTATGTGGCCAAAGTACTTCATCTTTGCCTCTAATCTCCTTCCCTCCAGTGAGCAGTCGGGCTTTATTTCTTGAAGTATGGACTGGTTAGATCTTTTTGTGGCCCAAGGCACTCTCAGAACTTTCTTCCAACACCACAGTTCAAAAGTTATTTATTTATTAGAGACACACAAGCTCCAAAATCCGGGAGTGGGGCAATGTGCAACTGGCTACACTGACGAAAAAGTCTATTGGAGCCAGTGACATTCCTGTTATATTGCAATCTCAACATGGCAGGAGCAGTTAAAATCCAAGAGAATTCCATTTGGACAGCTCCTTACACTCTAAAAGCCATTGCACAGTTGCCTTTCCATCCTCAGTACTGCCACAGGTAAAGGTGTAGAAAAAGATGCTTTAAAAGCTAATATTATTTTTGTATACATGCAGGATGACTTCACAATTGCTTAATAGTGAAGAGTTTCTGAGCCCCTTCTACACTTCCATATAATTCAGATTATCAAAGCAAATAATCCATATTATTGGTTTTGAACTGGATTATATGGGTCTACAGTGCTATATTAGAAAGATTATCTGCAATTAGAAAGATTATCTGCAATTCAAAGCAGATAATTTGGATTGCATATGGCCCTGTAGAAGGGACCTGAGCCACTTTAAAATCAAGAGTGTTGGGCATGCCTAAGACAGAAGTGTTACTAAAAGTGAGTAAAAGACAAACAAATGGATAACGGGTTAGTCTTCCAACCATGAAAGCGACTCACCATTATGCTTATCTGAGGTTGAGCACCAGATTCAACACAGGAAAGAACATGGTACCCATCTTGGAGACCCATAAAAATGGGGAATATGTTGTCATTATTTTTCTCAAAGCCTCGGTTAGGGACCACAGCCAGTAATTCCTCTAGAGAGAAACAAAAGGCAAGAAATGAAATCATATCCTAGCCCTGCCTGTGTCAAAAGATCTTGGAGTTCTTGTGGACGACAAGTTAAACGTGAGCCAACAATATCATGCAGTGGCACAAAAAGCCAATGGGAATTTGACCTGCATAAATACGAGTCTTGTGTCTAGAAGGGCTAATCAATAAAAATTACTACTACTCATTAATTCAATGGGGGAAGGTGGTGGAATCATTGACTCATAGAGTTGGAGAAGACCACAAGAACCATCCAGTCCAAAGCCTTCTTCCATGAAGTAACACACATTCGAAGCAAACCGAACAGATGACTATCCAATCCATCCTCTGCTTAAAACCCTCCAGAGAAAGAGACTCCACCACAATCCAAGGTAGAATATTTCACTATTGAATAATAATAATCATCATCATCATCATCATCATCATCTTTGTTTATACCCTGCCACCATCTCCCCGGGGGGGGGGGGGGGGGGGGACTCGGGGCAGCTTACATGAGGTCAAACCCAACAATACAACAATGCAAATAAACAACATACAATGACAGTAAAATATAAAATAAAATAACAAAAAACAATATTAGTAAACATCAACAATATAAAATCACAACCTCTATCAGGAATCTTTCCCTATTGCTTAGGTGGGATTTCAGTGCTTGTAATTAAAATCCCTTGCTCTGTGGCCTAATATCTGATATCATGGGACCACTACAGCGTAGTGTATGATGGATTGGCCCTAGAATGGGTCAATATACTCAAATAGCACAGATATCTATAAATGAATTGTAAATATGTAATTGTCCTATTATAATGACCTAAGTACAGATACCAGTTTAAGTAACTTTCATAGTACATACAGGACACACTTTGATAGTGCAACAAACACAATATATAAGATTTACAAAATAATTACATAGGTCAAATAAATCAATTTCAGTACAACAAGGTTTCCCGGGTGTTTTGTGTCCTTGTTTCAAGAGTAGATTCTCTTCATCAGGCTTCTTGGGGGTTATTTCCATGACTATGACATTTGATTGAATGAAATAACCCCCAAGAAGCCTGATGAAGAGAACCTTGTTGTGTATTCCTACGTTTGCTGAACACAACGCAAATTGTTTCCAAGTTTGATGTATTCTACGTGAACTATATTCCCAAGTTTATGGAACACTACGGTGTATTCCCAAGTTTGCTGAACACAATATGAATTATTTCTAAGTTTGATATATTCAACGTGAAGTATATTCCCAAGTTTGTGGAACACCTCGTTAATATTTGTTGAAAACTTTGTGGACATACTGAAATTGATCTATTTTACCTATGTAATTATTTTGTAAATCTTATATATTGTGTTTGTTGCACTATCAAAGTGTGTCCTGTATGTACTATGAAAGTTACTTAAACTGGTATCTGTACTTAGGTCATTATAATAGGACAATTACATATTTACAATTACCTAGAATGGGTCAGGCATTGCAGAGGCAGGAGGGAGTCCTAACTGCCCAGCATCATTTCAATTCCCTTCTATCTTCTGTGGCATGGTGGTCCTTGGCTGTGGCATGGATCCTTCCTGTCAGTCATCACATGCAGTACTGTCAACAGGGTGTTGGGGCAATGAGGAAAGGGGCAGAGAGGAGGAATCATCCATCCTTTCCTCAATCGTCCCATCATCCCAGTCAATGTGATTCCAGGAGACGGCCGGCTGTCGGAATAGAATAGAATTGATGAGGATATATTGGAAATATAAATATTTATACATATATTGTATATACCTTACAAGCACTGAAATATAGAAAAATCAGGTTCTCTGTGTATTAGGAAGCCAAACTGACAGGCCAGAAAGAATGCTGAAGGAGATCTGTGTTGAAAGGGGGAGGAGAAGGGGGGCATGTTATCTATACAGAGACTTTTTTTCTAAAAGTAAGGGGTCTCTCTCCCTCCCTGCCCGAAAGGTCAAAAGTAGGCCCCTGATGGATGTAAGCTGCTCTTTAGAAAAAACAGAGACATGCCGCTTGCATGTAGGAAGATATAATTTGATATTTCTATGATGCTAAAGTGACGTAGTGATGATGTTAACGTATGTAGAAGCATGTTTCTTTGTTTGCCTGCATTTGAATATGTATAAAGGGAAAAGTCAATGCCTTTATCCTCACTGTGGTTCGCTTTTGGATGAGATTTTACACCAGAGTCTCAGCTGAAAATAAGCGTACTTTTCTGCCAGGAAGGGTCGCTCTTGGTATTATCTCTCCTATCACAACAGAATAACTTTATTGTCATTGTACAATGAAATTAAATACTTTCCACAAAAACAACACACCCATCCCTCCATACTCCAACCCCATTGCACAGCCCCCAATGCCACATCGATGCGAAACCATGGAATGCAATATAGTTACAACTCTAGGATAAAAGCTATCTCTCAGTCTGTTTCTCTTTGTCTTTCTGTTGTTTATTCATTCAGTCGTTTCCGACTCTTCGTGACCTCATTCTGTACTGTCTGCCAGATGTAACAATTCAAAGAAAAAATATGCTGGGTGAGATGGATCCTTAAGAATGTTATGAGTTTTCTAAAGGCTGTGGGATTTCTAAAGTTCTTCCAAAGAGGGGAGAGGGCAACCAATGATTCTCTGTGTGCAGTAATTTTGACCCTTTGGACCGCCTTCCTATCTGTCAGGCAGAACCCATTTTGCACCTGGAGACCACCACAACATGGAAAACAGAAGGAGCCAGGAAGTGCCATCGCAGGAGCCCCCAGTGGCACAATGGGTTAAACCCTTGTGCCAGCAGGACTGCTGCCCAACAGGTCAGTGGTTTGAATCCGGGAAGAGTGAGTTGAGCTCCCTCTGTCAGTTCCAGCTCCCCATGCAGGGACATGAGAGAAGCCTCCCACAAGGATGGTAAAACATCAAACATCTGGGCATCCACTAGGCAATGTCCTTGCAGACAGCCAATCCTCTCACACCAGAAGTAACTTGCAGTTTCTTAAGTCACTCTTGACATTTTTTAAAAAAGTATCATCTATGATTCTATGATTCATGTGTCCGTGGGCCACACAAGTGCAGGAATAGTTGTGGCCCAACATTGAAGGATACTCCAAAGTTGGGGGAGGCTCCAAATTCTGGGCCAGAATTCATAGTATCCCCTGACTTTGGTTAACATGGAGCAAAATCATACAGTTTTAAGGGACCCTTGCCTCTTGTTACCCCAGATCGCTCAGTGCAGCCTTTGGGTTCTGTCCGTCCTTTTGAAAATAAAGACACATTTTCCCCTCTGATAGTCTGCTGAAATTTCTCCTCTTCTCCAGAAACTCTCAAATATGATTGCCAATTATTTTAAAATTACTTCTGTCCATTCTTTTAATGCCCTTGGATGTAATTCATCTGGAGCCAGAACCTTCAATTCAGGTATAATAACCAGATATCCCTGCACTGTCTCTTTACCTATTCTATGCTGTGTTTTCCCTATTGGCTCATTTGTGTCATTGTCCCCAAGGTGAGCACTCTGAGAGAGAAGTGAGGCACAGAAAGTGTTGAGTAGTCTTGCCTTTCCTCTGTCACCATACACATTTCACCAGTGGGCCAGTGATTAAACTAAAGGCTAAAAAAGAAGAATAAATGCAATCTATAAATTCGGTGACATGAGTCCCTAAAGCCAACTTTCTTGTGTCTAGACACCCGGGAAGTGGGTCGTTTTATAAATGACAAAAGAAAAGAAAAGAAGAAGAAAATGATCTCGGTAAAGGGAGGAAAGGGGAAAACGTCTAGCCTTTTCAATCTCCTCACATGGAGAGGGGAGCCTCCACTACCTGCCTTTTTCCTCTCCTTTCCCTCTTCAATCAGGATTCCCAATCAAGTGGAGAGACAGGACATGTCTCTCACACTCACAAACAGAGGGAGTGGAGCTATGGTGTTCATTCACAGACACACACATACCCATGTTATCCTTTTTTGTGAATGCCAAGAATAGGGCTCTTGTTCCCCAGTTTCAGAATATGAGGGAACGAATTGACAAAGTGAGTACAATATAGGAGATGTTACCTGCTGAGTTGGAACCTTTAGGAGCCGCCACCAATGTGTTGTTCGACATGTAAAGGTATTTCTGGCCAACATCCCAAATTCGGTAATGCCAGGGTTCTGCCAGTTCTGCTGTAAATACTGTTGTATTTGTGGAATAATGTTAGTATGGAAATATAATACAGATATGTTTATTAGGCTTAGGTAAGTTCATTCGTTAGTTTCTAAAATCGTAATTAATTCAGATTAAATTACCTTTTGATCCAATTTCGAGCCATGCAGGAATAGTGGGAGGAGCAATTCCGAACTGAAACAACTTCCCCATTGTTCGGAATTATTTTCGGATGTGGCTTTGCACGCCCGGACGATGCAAAGAGGGACGAGGTGGGCGTGGCTAAGAACAGCTCTTCCTGAAGGCCACTGGGGGAGTGGCCTTCAGGAAGAGCTGTTCTTAGCCACGCCCACCTCATCCCTCTTTGCATTGCCAGGCGTGCAAAGCCACCGATGCAAAGAGGGACAAGGTGGGCATCGGTAAGCACTGATCTTCCTGAAGGCCACGCCCCCAGTGGCCTTCAGGAAGAGCTGTGCTTAGCCACACCCACCTCGTCCTTCTGCAATCCATTGCCGTTCATTGCCACCCAAGGAAGGGAAACTGCGAGTTTAGTTTTAAAATCTCGCAGTTTCCTTACCTGGGTGGCGGCAAACGGCGATGGATTGCAGAGGGACGAGATGGGCATGGCTAAGCACAGCTCTCCTTGGAGGCCTCACCCCCAGTGACCTCCATGCCCACCTCGTCCCTCTGCATGACAGCTTGCCAGGGAAGGGAAGCTGCGAGATTTTTAAAACTAACCCTGGGGGCATGGCCTTCAAGAAGAGCTTTTGAACCTTTTTTTTGGGGGGGGGGGGGATTACCCAAGCCTAATGTTTATCCATGAGGGGTAGGGATGAAAACATTTCAATTGAGAAATAGGACCAGTTCTAGTTCTAGTTAGATTTCATTTTGCTTGAGGAGATTATCACACTACCTTTTAATGCGAGCTGCAGTCTTCCCCACCATGAGTGAAAGACCTTACCACCACATGATGTTGTTGTACATCTATCCAGTCTAAATTTGTTAAGAAAGTATAGGCAAGCAATACGAGGGTGAATGAAAACTAATGCCTCCATCTTCGTTACTTGTTTTTGGATTGGAATATTTTAATAAATCAAAAGCAGAAATAATCCTTAGAATGTTCTTTTTAACTACCACTTTTTCCACATAATCACCAGACAATTGGATACATTTCTACCAACAACGAACAAGTTTTCTGAAGCCATCATGGAAGAAGTTGATGTTCTGTTTCTGCAACCAGTGTCTCATAGTTCTAACGTCTTCATCAGAAGCAATAATAATAATAATAATAGTAATAATAGTAATAATAATAAGTAAAACTTTATTTATACCCCGCTACCATCTCCCCAAGGGACTCGGTGCGGCTTACATGAGGCCAAGCCAACAGCACATCAATAAACAAAATTAACAAAAGCAATCAATACAATACAATTAATATAAATCACACAAACAAAAAATTAGCAAGAAACAATAAACAGTAACACACAGCATTTAAAAAACCTATTGTAATAATTTAAAATTTAAAAAAATAATGCTGGGTGTGAACAAGGTAGGATATAACTGGGATAGGGTTTTCAAAGAGAAATGAGGGAACGCAGTCAGTCCTAAATCAGTGGTAAAGTGCATTTTGAGGGCATATTGTTGAGGGTTTTCCTTATTCTGGGAAGGCACACTGGAACAAGCACGTTTTCAGGCTCCTCCTAAAGACTGCCAGAGATGGGGCATGTCTGATGTCCTTGGGAAGTGAGTTCCAGAGTCGGGGGGCCACCACCGAGAAGGCCCTCTCCCTCGTCCCCACCAATCGTGCCTGCGAAGGAGGTTGGAGTGTGAGCAGGGCCTCTCCAGATGATAGAAGAAATTTTGTGTGTTCATACACAGAAATCCGGTCAAGCAGGTAAGCGGGTCCTAAACCGTTCCGGACTTTGTAGGTAAGAACCTGCACCTTGAATTGGGATTGGAAAATGAACCACAGCCAATGGAGCTCCTTAAACAGGAGGGTTGACCGCTCTCTGTAAGAAGCACCAGTTAGTAATGTCCCTGCAGATCATCTTTCATTATCGAAAACAGATGGAAGTCAGACGGTGCTAAATCTGGACTTGTATGGAAGATGCCATATGGTGGTGAGATCCAGTCTCTGAAGTTCTGCTGTGTACCGATTGTGCACAGATCTTCCAATAGCCAAGCAAAGCAATAATGCGACCCACACGTTCTTGTGAAATGCCAATTATGCTTGAAATTCCTCTGTTGTCAAGAATTCTTAACATTGCTTAAGTCACATTGACCGACAGTCTTCCATACTTCGCACTTTAACAACACAACTGTTCAATGCTAAGGCTTCCCACCAAAATGGAACTGTAGAGGAGAGTCTGCTGAACAAGCCAGTACCTGCCGCATACAGTACTGCCATCTGTTGAGGAGCTACGAAGGTGGAGGCATTACTTTTCATTCAACCCTCATAGGTGATCATTTCTAATAACTACATAAGTGAAAGATTTTTTAATGTAACATTATACACAGTATCAGATCATTACAATTCTTGCTCATGGATTCTTTTCTTTAATTCTTTTTATGGGAATCTTGTGTCTATTTGACACTATAGAGAACCAAGGGCCCTTCCACACAGCCCTATATCAAGGCAGAAAATCCCACAATATCTGCATTGAACTGGATTATCTGAGTTCACACTCAGATAATATGGGATTTTCTGCCTTGATGTTCTGGGATATAGGGCTGTGTGGAAGGGCTCCTAGTGGAGACAATATCCCCCATTGAATTCATCTTGATGGTGCCTCCGGTTTCATTTCAGTGATATTCCGTTTTGCTTATTTTTATAGCATTTGTTTGTTCCTCAAAATAGCAGAAGTAGAGAAATTCCTTATAGTTCAATTTATCTCCATTCGGGAACAAAAATGTATCCGTTAATAGGTAAATTCAATTATTATAATCTGAATAAACTGCAATATTGATATGTGAAATGTTATAATATGTCAAAGTACACTATATATAATGCAGATTTGTGTAAGTTTTCTTGTCCGTGTTCCAGAAGCATTCTCTCCTGACATTTCACCCACATCTATGGCAGGCATTCTCAGAGGTTGTGAGGAATGTTGGAAACTAGGCAAATGAGGTTTATATATCTGTGGAATATCCAGAGTGGGAACAAGAACTCTTGCCTGTTTGTGACAGGTGTGAATGTTGCTATTGGCCGCCTTGATTAGCATTGAATGGCCTTACAGCTTCAAAGCCTGGCAGCTTCCTGCTGAGAGAATCCTTTGTTGGGACCCTGATTGTTTCATGTTTGCAATTTCCCTGTTTTCTGAGTGTTGATCTTTATTTACTGTCCTTATTTTAGAGTTTAATACTGGTAGCCAGATTATGTTAATTGAATGCTTGCCTTTTTGTGTGTGTAAACCACCCTGAGTCCCTGTTATTAAAGTTATTATTTTGTTGACACAAATGCACAGTATGTCATAGCAAATGAGATCTATATGCTGGATTTCGTATCAAAAAAGCACCAGTCAAACACTTCCCAAGCGTCTAGGACTGTGTGATGTATATTATTATTATTATTATTATTATTATTATTATTATTATTAGCTGTCCCCTGCTACGCATTGCTGTGGCTCTCATGGGGGTTTTGTGTGGGATGTTTGGCCCAATTCTATCATAAGTCCCAGCAAGTACAAATGTCAAGATTCTATTTTCCCCAAACTCCACCAGTGTTCACATTTGGGCGTATTGAGTATTCATGTAGTTTCGTCCAGATCCGTCATTGTTTGAGTCCACAGTGATCTTTGGATGTAGGTGAACTACAACTCCAAAACCAAAGGACATTGCCTACCAAACCATTCCAGTATTTTCTGTTGGTCATGGGAGAACTGTGTGTCAAGTTTGGTTCAATTCCATCGTTGGTTGGGTTCAGAATGCTCTTTGATGGGAGGTTAACTATAAATCCCAGCAACTACAACTCCCAAATGACAAAATCAATTTTTTTAGTGAAGGACATGCATTGTGTTGTAAGGTGTCTTGTGTCCAAATTTGGTGTCAATTCGTCCAGTGGTTTTTGAGTTCTGTTAATCCCACAAATGAACATTACATTTTTATTTATATAGATTATTGTTTCACGGTTTCCTCCTTTCTGTTGAAATTGTCCACATGTTCACACCTGCCTTGAGCAGACAAGAGTCCTTTCTCCCACCCTGGGCATAATTCCACAGATATATAAACCCCACTGGTGTCATTTCCAACAGACCCCTCAACATCTGAGGATGCCTGCCATAGATGTGGGTGAAATGTCAGGAGAGAATGCTTCTGGAACATGGCCACACAACCCAGAAAACTCACAGTGATTCCGGCCATGAAAGCCTTCGACAAAACACATATATAATGTATTTGAAGTTCCTAAAGTAAGAAAGTAACTTTTAATAAGTGACTTTCAATCCTAATTTTTCAATGGTCATACTGCATTTCCCCTCAAAGATTTATTCTAGAAAGAGAAAAAGAAAGGACTTCAACATTTCTGGAAATTTTAGTCCCCTGGGCTGCAAATGAACTGGGCTGCAAGCCTCAAGATAGTGCTTGTTTCATCTTTTTCATTCCAGTCAGCTGCCCTGGCTGAAAACCAAACATACTGGTTTAATTGGTTTTTCCCCAAGAGATTCAACTCCCTTTTAATGCATGCTTGTCATTTTCCGCTTGGCTAAAGATGTCTGTTTGTCAGCGGGGATTATCACACTACACTGTTCTGTGATTACACTTTAAATCTTATGCCTGCCTCCTATGGAATCTCAGCATATGTAGTTTAGGGAGGGGTCTTCAAAATTGTCAGCCAAAGAGGTTCTGGGACTCACTACAAACTCTTTTCAAATAAGGTGTAGAAAAAATCAGATTCTCTCTGTATCAGGAAGACAAGCTGACAGGACAAAAGGGATGCTGAAGGATCTGTGTCCAAAGCACAGGGAAGAGGGGCGTGAACATTCCAGGAGGGGGGAGATAAGAAAGGCCTGGCACAGACAGAGGTAAAAAGTAAGGAGTTTCTCTCCCTTCCTCCTGACAGGTCAAAAGTAGGCCTCTTGATGGATCTAAGCTGAATCCTAGTTATCTCTAATGCTGTAAACTGCTTTAGAAAAAATATAGAAACATGCCTCTTGCATGTAGGAAGACATAATTTGATATTTATATGATGCAAAAGTGACGTAGTGGTGATGTTACATATGTAGAAGCGTGTTTCTTTGTTTGCCTGCATTTGAAGATGTATAAAAGGGAAAGTCAACACCTTTATCCTCACTCTGGTTCGCTTTTGGACGCAATTCCACACCAGGGTCTCAGCTGAAAATAAAGCCATACTTTTCTGCCTCACAGAAAGGATCGGTTTTGGTATTATCTCTCCTATCAGCCATAACAGTTCAATTCCATGGTTGATGGAGTTCAGAATGTTCTTTGATTTAGGTGAACTATAAATCCCAGCAACTACAATTACCAAATGACAAAAGCAACTCCTCTTCCCCAACCCCCTCAAAACCCGACTAATATTCAACTTTGGGCGCATTGGGACAAAATTCTCCAAACACAGAGAGCATTAATAACCAAAATTTATAATAATGTATTGGATTGGGCAACAGAAATGGAACTTATAAAAAATTGTATGATCAGATGGGCCCAAAATTTGAAGAGACCCATCCATTTAAAAAATGGGAATCAAATTGGAATAAAAAAATAAAATATATCTATGCGAAGGATTTAAAAGAAAATTGGCTTAAAATGTTTCACAGATGGTATATGACACCAAAAAAATAGGTTTAATGTATAAAAACATGGATAATAACTGCTGGAAGTGTCAGGAGGTTGAAGGTAGTTTTTTCATATGTGGTGGACATGCAAGAAAGCACAAGAATATTGGAAAAATATCCATGAAGAAACACAAAAAATATTGGGAATTTCATTCCCAAAAAACCCGGAGTATTACTTACTAAATATTACAGATTTAGATCTTTCCCTAGACCTAAATAAAAACATACTATTTACCTATATAGTAACCCTATACCTAAATAAAGACATACTATTTACCTATATAGTAACCGCTGCAAGGATAGTATATGCGAAGCTTTGGAAAATGGACAAAATACCGGAGGTAGAGGACTGGATAAATAAGACTCAAGAAATTAAAGATATGGACAAATTGACTTTTTTGTTGAAAAAGAGTTCGGGAAATCCAATAAGAGAGACCAATTGGTCACATTTTGAAAAAAAATTAAAGGAAAAGAGGAAGGAAAATACTAATGGAGGAACAGATTCCTATAAGTGACTCAGGACAAGGTTGTTTGAAATAGGAGATACAGCCTCTTTTCTGGGGATGTAAAGAAAGAAGATCCCTTGGAAGGAATAGGTAAGACAAAAATAATGGAATAAGACAACACACAACTTAGCGAAGACACAGAATGGAAGTCAACAAACTATTTTTGTTTTTACTTTCTCTCTCTCTTTTTTTCTTTTTCTTTTTCTCTTTATCTCTATTCTGAAACTTTCCTACTTTCCTATAATTTAATGTTCTCCCACTTTCCCTGTAATTTTTTTCATTACTTGTCTATTTACCTTTATATATATATATGAATTTATAACTCAATAAAATTATATAAAAAAAACTTTGGGCGTATTGGGTATTTGTGCCAAATTTGGTCCAGTGAATGAAAATACATCCTGCATATCAAATGTTTATATTATGATTCATAACAGTAGCAAATTTTCAGTTATGAAGTAGCAATGAAATTAATTGTATGGTTGGGGGTCATCACAACTTGAGGAAATGTATTAAGGGGTCGCAGCATTCGGAAGGTTGAGAACCACTGCTTTAAGTTAACCTTAGGTTAAACTGAACTTAATTCCAAGTTACTTCAATTTTTAAAGATTGCAAGCAATGCTTTGACCTGGTGAGTTTACTCTATGAAAGGGTCCTGATAATTATAAGTGAATCCAGATATTAGCATCCTGACATGTAAGGGTTTTTCTTTCTTCCTCTCGTGTAAGATATCTGTGCAATTTGTAAAGTTGTATTGGGTAACAAAAAGGAAGTGTTTTAAAAGTTCTTATTCACCCATGTCCTTTGGATTTGGGAATTTATGAAATAAATCTGCCATTTCTTCAGCGACGCTCTTCTTGGGCTTCATTTCTACAATCTTCTCCATTCTTTCTCACGGACAGGTTTGCACAATATGAATTTCTCCTCCTGCAGTCACTAGTGTTAAAAGAGAGAAATATCATAAGCTAACATTCCTGACGAGCAGAACACTGAACATAAAAAAACATTTTGCAAAAAAAAGAGTAATGGAAAGATTCTCTGACTAATTTATATGCTGCTGCTGCAAGTTCCATGTCATCATAGAGTCATAGAATCATAGCATTGGAAGAGACAAGGTGAGCAAAGTTCACTTTGAGGCAGTGTTTCTCAACCTGGGGGTCGGGGCACCTGGAAGGGGGGGTTATGAGGGGGGTTTCAGAGGGGTCACCAAAGACCATCAGAAACACATATTTCTAATGGTCTTAGGCACCCTTTTGGCAGAGAAGGCTGAAGATCTCTCCACCTGTCCTTCTCTTCCTTTTTGGTGTTTATTTATTTATTTATTTATTTATTTATTTATTTATTTCTTGCACTTATTAACCGCCACTCTCAGCCCTAGGGCGACTCGTGGCGGTGTACAACAACATAGAAAGACAGTTTACAATAAATCAAGACAATAAACACAATCTACCACTACATGACAACTACTTATACTAAAAATCCGCTTCGTCATATCCTGGGGTCATAATCAATCTCATAGTCATAGTCCATTCCGGTCGTCATTTCCAATAACATAGCACTCAGTTGAAGGCCAATTCGAAAAGCCATGTTTTCAGGCCCTTACGAAAGGCCATAAGGGAGGGCGCCTGTCTAAGTTCAGCAGGGAGGGAGTTCCAAAGCCGGGGGGCCACCACCGAGAAGGCCCGCTCCCTCGTCCCCGCCAGACGTGCCTGTGAGGCAGGCGGGACCGAGAGAAGGGCCTCCCCAGATGATCTCAAGGTCCTCGTGGGCTCATAGGCCGAGATGCGGTCTGCAAGGTATTTTGGGCCGGAACCGTTTAGGGCTTTGTAGGATAACACCAGCACCTTAAATTGGGCCCGGTAGCAAATCGGCAGCCAGTGGAGCTGGGACAGCAGGGGCGTTGTATGCTCCCTGCGCCCTGCTCCTGTTAACAACATGGCTGCCGCGCGCTGGACTAGCTGGAGCTTCCGGGCCGTTTTCAAGGGCAGCCCCACGTAGAGAGCGTTGCAGTAATCGAGGCGGGATGTGACCAAAGCGTGTACCACCGTGGCCAAGTCAGACTTCCCAAGATACGGGCGCAACTGGCGCACGAGCCTAAGCTGTGCAAATGCTCCCCTGGTCACCGCTGAAACCTGGAGGTCCAGGCTCAGCGACGAATCCAGGGTCACACCCAAGCTGCGAACCTGCGCCTTCAAGGGGAGTGCGACCCCGTCCAGCACAGGCTGTAACCCTATACCCTGCTCGGCCTTGCGACTGACCAGGAGTACCTCTGTCTTGTCTGGATTTAATTTCAGTTTGTTCGCCCTCATCCAGACCATTACAGCGGCCAGGCACCGGTTCAGGACTTCGACAGCCTCCTTAGTAGCAGGTGGGAAGGAGTAACAGAGTTGGACGTCATCTGCGTACAGATGGCACCGCACCCCGAAACTCCGGATGATCTCACCCAGCGGCTTCATGTAGATGTTAAACAGCATGGGGGACAGGATAGAACCCTGAGGAACCCCACAGGTCAAAGGCTGTGGTGTTGAACAGGAGTCCCCCAATAACACCTTCTGGGTACGACCCTCCAGAAATGAGCGGAGCCACTGCAAAGCAGTGCCCCCAAGACCCATCTCTGCAAGGCGCCCCAGAAGAATACCGTGGTCGACGGTATCGAAGGCCGCTGAGAGGTCCAGGAGCACCAACAGGGACACACTCCCCCTGTCTAGCTCCCGGCGCAGATCATCCACTAAGGCGACCAAGACCGTCTCGGTTCCATGTCCCGGTCTGAAACCAGACTGTGCCGAATCCAGATAATCCGTGTCTCTCAAGAATACCTGGAGTTGTGAGGCCACCACGCTTTCCATGACTTTGCCCAAAAAGGGGAGATTGGAAACAGGCCGAAAGTTGTCAAATTTGGTGGGTCCAATGATGGTTTCTTCAACAGCGGTTTTATAATAGCTTGTTTTAAGCTCGCTGGAATCTTGCCTTCCCGAAGGGAGGCATTAACCACCACCGTTACCCACTCAGCCAATCCCCCTCTGGCCTCCTTCAGAAGCCAGGATGGGCAGGGGTCTAGGATGGACGTGGTAGGCCTCATTCCTCCAAGTATCTTGTCCACATCCTCGGGCTTCACAAGCTGAAAAGAATCCATCAAAATAGGACAAGCAGGTGCTTGTGTCACATCCACAGAGACTGCATTTAAAGTGGTGTCCAGCCCAGAGCGGATCAAAGCGACTTTGTCTGCAAAGAACCGAGCAAATGCTTCACAGCGCGTGGCCGAGTTGTCAGGGCTCCCACCTGAGGTAGGGGGAGTTAAAAGACCTCTGACAATCCGAAACAACTCCGCCGGACGGTTTTTTGCAGACGCAATAGTGGCCGCAAAGAAAGTTTTCTTTGCGGCTTTTATTGCCGCGGCATATGCCCTTAAAAAGGACACAAACCGTGCTCGATTTGGCTCGCTTGGGTCCGAGCGCCACACGCTCTCTAGTTCCCTCTTCCTTCGCTTCATCGCTGCCAGCTCCTCAGTGAACCAAGGAGCTGGTTTAGCTCGGTTACTTGAGAGGGGACGTTCCGGAGCGATCCTGTCAATTGCCCTGGTCATCTCCCCATTCCAGAGAGCGACCAAGGCCTCGACATGGTCACCTACCGAGGTGGTGGGAAAATCCCCAAGAGCCGTCAGGAATCCATTCGGATCCATAAGCCTCCTGGGGCGGACCATCTTAATAGGTCCTCCACCTCTGCGGAGGTTAGGGGGCGCAGTGAGCCTAAATCTGATCAGGAAGTGGTCGGTCCATGGCAACGGAGAGATAGCCAACTCCTCCACACCGCCACCCTGCTCCCATCCCTGGCAGAAGACCAAGTCCAATGTGTGTCCAGCGCAGTGGGTGGGGCCAGTTATTCGTTGGGACAGCCCCATGGTTGCCATGGCGGACATGAAGTCCTGAGCCGCTCCTGTGAGGGTCGCCTCGGCATGGATGTTGAAGTCCCCCAGCACAAGAAGCCGTTGGGACTCCACCGCCAGGCTCGAGACCACCCCCGCTAGCTCAGGTAGGGAGACTGTAGTGCAGCGAGGTGGACGGTACACTAACAGAATCCCTATTCTGTCCCGGTCACCCACCCTCAGGTGGACGCATTCAAAATTTGTGGTCTGCGGGATGGGGCTCCTGGTCAGATGGATGGAATCTCTATAGACCACTGCGACACCGCCTCCCCGTCCTCCGGCTCTTGGTTGGTGTTGCACGGAGAAACCTGGAGGACAAAGCTGGGAGAGGTTTACGCCCCCCGCTTCATCCAACCAGGTCTCCGTGATGCACGCCAGATCTGCCCGCTCATCCAGGATTAAATCCTGGATAAAGGTAGTTTTTCCGTTGACAGATCTGGCGTTCAACAACACCACCTTCAAACCAGAGGATCCGCTCACCTGGTTACACCAATTTACCTTAGGAGACCGTTTGGGGGTTGTTAATATGGATAAGCGGTCCGAATTAGGCCAAATTTGGGGTCTCCTTTTTCCGCATCTCCTCCTTCCCACCACGACCTCTATGGGGGCCCCTCGGCTAGTGGAACACCTCCCCCCCTCCATGCCGCAATCCAGAGCCAAGAAATTGCTTTCTGCTTTGCTCGTTGTTCGAATTTTTGGTTTATGCCAACATCCTCTCTCCCCCTCCTCCCCCCTCCCTACCCCATTTTCATTCACAGGCTCCAACCCACCTCCTCTCCTGCCCCCTCCGCTACACAGTAGTAACAGGGACAGAACATACAGGGGGATGGGGAACCACATGGATAGCAGCAATACAGGTGGTACTAGGTGTTCCGGCCACACCAGTAAGACAGTTCTTAAAGTGCACAAGTTTTAAGTGCAACACCGTCAACAATAGTATTCAATCAGCAACAGACACTACATGCCATCGGGCACATTCATAAAGTGCTAGATCTAAAGTGCTCTGCTCAACGATAGTTAAAGTGCGGCATAGAGGGACAGGAAAGGGGCGGGGCGTAAGTGCTGGTGCAAACTAGCAGCAGACGGCAGGCGCCTTAAGTGCTATATTACGTTCTTATCACATTAGCAGCAGAAGACAACCAGGAATGTATTAAGTTGGTAATATAAAATATATAAACCCTCCTATGGGGATAGAGATGATGGCAAATTAGCTAAATGCTGTTATGATCCCAGGTGAAACCTCTAGACGGTTGGAATACAAGCGGATGGGGCTTCCGGAGATGACAACTCAGCGGTGGGCAGCACGGTTGATCAATCACACTCTTACACAATATGTATTAACGTAAGGTAGGCCAGCTTAAAGGTCTATACAGGAGTCTACCCACAAAGGCCAGCACAAAGGTCTCCACAGAGGTCTACACAAGGAGGCCAGCACACAATATCTCACAGAGGTCCACACAAAGAGGCCAGCACAGAAGGTCTACGCAAGGTCTACACAGAAGAGGCCAGTACAACAGGTCTATACCAAGGTCTGCACAACTCAGTCAGACCCTCCGCAGTCTTCGCCCTGATGGAAGACGGGCGGCAATAGCGGCCGTGACTCAGCAGCGGCCTGATGAAAAAGGCGGCCGGATGGTGGTGATGGACGCGGTGGCCGCAGCGGCAACGGCAGCTTGGTGGCGACCACGGCCTAGCGGCGACTGTAGCCTGATGGAGAAGGCGGCGACGACCCCCGGCAACGGCGGCGGCCCGGCGGTTATTCAGCCCCTACAACGGGGTGGTGATGATCCTGTCCGGGCGGTGGCGGCACCGGCCTAGCAGCACTGGCGGCCGCAGCTCAACAGCGGCCTGATGATAATGGGGCCGCAGCGGCCGCAGCGTCAGCCTGGTGGCGGCTGCGGCCTAGCGGCGGCCACGGCTCAATAGAGGCGGCGGCGGCGGCCCTGCAGAGGGGCGGCGATGGTTTCGTCCGGGCGGCGGCGGCGGCGGCGGCTCAGGGCGATGTCGGCCGCGG